ACATAGTGATATTCGGTTTTTTCCTAAAGATATAATGCAAGGGAGATGGCTCCTCCCATAATGGAGTCCAAGTATCGTTGAACCTTTTAAAAAAAAATACGGACAGCACCAGCATAAAAAACAATTTGGAAAGGCAAGAGTGAAAGAAAGAGGTGAGATGCACCACTAAAGGAGCATTAGATGCCAATAAGTGGAGCATGAGGTCCCTTCCTTTTTCTTTCTTTTGTTTTGTTTTTTCCCGGTAAGTTGAAGGTGACAAAGCAACGAAAAGGCCCTTGTTGGGCCATCGAATTTTTCTTTAGAGACATAAGCGAACAACCTAATACCAAAGAAACTAATATACATTTCAGAGTTTTCAAATCAAGGGAAAACGATTTGACAAACAAAGTTCACACGACCTGCCTAGCTATTCGCCGCCCCACAATTTTTGGAAACTTAGATCAATATTGGATACCCACCCATCAAAATGAGTGACACAAAAGAGAAATTATGGGTCATTGAAATCTGAAATAAATGATACTTAGTGTTGAGCCATGGTAGCCCATCACTGTGACGGATAATAACAGATCAGCGACAACTCACATGTATTCATGATCTTCTAAATCTAATAATGATAATGATAATGGTAATGATTCTAATAGATTATAAATCTCCACGTTTAATGAGCCGTCAATGTACTACACTTGACAATTTGCCTCTACCTGACAAGGACTTCGAGATTTTTTGTGTCTTTCTCAAAGACACCAACTCAAGTATCAAAGTTTGCTTGCCACCGACAAATTATTCAAATAAACTTGGGACTCCATAAATAGAATTTTGAGCACCAGCAGATGCCAGGAAGGTACCTTCTTTTTAATTTTTTCCAACAGACTTGGTCAAAGAAACCCACCCGCATAAAGCTTTTGCTATAGTCGAAAGCCAAGTCCAACAGTTCGGCGTTCTAACACTAAAGATCCATCACCCCACCGCCACTATTAAAAAAATTACCGACAACGTTTGGATTCTTTATTTGACTTTGGTCTAGCAAGAATTTAGATATTTTTTTATAAAAAAATCATTAAAAATGCGAATCAAGAAAGGCATCCAAATTCTATAAATCACCTTGGTTGCAACGATTAATAAAGAATTAACAAATAAACAAATAATTAAAAAAGCGTTACAAATATTAGCTCAAGTACAACGTTCGTTAAAAAATGACAACAAAAAAAAAGCTTTCAAAGATGCAAAATACAATACCATTTGCAATTAAAAAGAGAGAGAGAGAGCAATACGCTTTGCAAATAGAAGAATTAAGCAAAACCAGCCTTAGATTCCTTGCTTACAATTTCTACACACAGATCTAAACCAACAACAACAAAAAAAACATGCATTTACAAAATAAGAATCCATGCCACCCAATTTAAATAATTTAAATATAATAACAAAAATATCAGAGAATTAATAATGCCAGAAATATATATATAAAGTAGTTGACATGCATTAAAATTCTAACAGCAAAACCAGACATCACGTGAACAGCTTTAAAGACATTGGATTCTAAAGCAATTAAGCCCGCATGCTAATTTTATATCAAATTTTGTTTAGCTACAGGAAAAGAAAATGAATATATCCCCAGATTTATCTGTTATCAAGCTTGAACAAAGATCGTCGTTTTTACCTAGATCCAACTTAGTCTGACTAAAATCTCTAAAACTCAGGCAAAAGAAAATGAACATTCCCATCTAATATTCACGCAGATTTAAAACAACCCACAAAAGAATCAAACAAAAAGTGCAAGTTCATAGTTGAAGAAGAAAAGACGGCTAAAAACTGATAAAAAGAAAAAAGAAAGAAAAATGTATTACCTGATAAAAGAGAGAGGAATTGGCTCTCCTTCTTTCAAAGCCTCTCTCTTTTAAGACTCTCTCCTCCTTTCTCAAAAACCTCTTCTCTTTCTTTGTGTTCGAGGGCGTGGAATAATAGCCGGCCCTTGAGCAGATGTATAAAGAGGAAGAAGTCAGTCTAGTGTCGACCGCTCCCTCCTCCTATAAAAGCTCTTTTTATGGGCCCCACATAAAACCCAACTTGTGCTTCAGGCGTCCCCTTGTCAGTTGGCCTGGCATCCTTCGATCTTTTATTAGTAACTACAATCCAGTCCCTTAACTATTACAGAAATTTCAAACCGTTTTCAAACAACAAACTATTGTAAGTTGGACATTCACATGTTGTTGATTTAATCTTCAAGTCTATTGGTTACATTTTTTTTTTTTTGGAGGAAAAAAAAAGGATTAGGCATCTATCATGTGTCTTTGTTTTGATTGAAAAACAATATCCATCGTACAGTGATGTCGTGAATGTTTAAATTTAAATTAATATTATTATTGTAAAAGTGAAAAAAAATCATGAATACTTAAATTTAATTTAATACTATTACTATAAAAATGAAAAAAAATCATGAATACTTAAATTTAAGTTAATAATATTATCGTGAAAGTGAAAAAGATCTAAATTTGGGTTGATCTTGTTATTTTAAAAGTGAAAAAAAACTTTTTAATTTATATTTCATGAATCATGATATAAAAACATAGCTTACCTATAGTAAATATAGTTATTGTTTAGATATTGAATGATATTGATTGAAAATATTTATTTTTTCACTCAAGTTTTCATGAAGATAAGATTTGATTATATACTATGTGGATAGATTCATAAAGAAAGGTCAACCTTTATAATTTTTGTGAGGTAAGTCATTAAAAGATAATTTTATTTTCAATGGATGGGTTGCTTTTAGTTTTGCAGATAAATAGATTTAATTTTATTATTGTGAACTGGTTTGAAAATATTATTTGACTTTAATTTCAAAAGAATTTTTATTCTAATTTGATTTATAAAACATTATATTATGTTTTAAAAAGATAAGTTTATTAATTGTATTTAACAAATTTTAAATTTTTTTATTTTTTAATTTCTTTGGATATTTTTATTTTTATTTTGTGTGTAATTCTATACAATAGTTTATATTTATATCATTTGCTATTACATATAGGTTTTTTTTATTTAAAAAAGAGGAAGAAGAAGAAGTGGCATTATCCTTTTTATAGAATTTAATCAAAATCAAAATAAAATAATGTACTTGACGTGAGAAATTAATCAAAATCCATTTCGTTTTCTTAACCTAGTATGAGGTGAGTCCTACCGTTCTAGATTGGTAAGTGGATGACAATCGAGCAAAAACGTTTCGATATTATGTTATTTTAAGACCAAATAGACATGCCTGGTATTATTGGGGGACTTATTTATGGTTCTGATTTGGTATTCACGGGGCGCCGTGTCAACGATATTTTGGTTTATATGCGTTGCGAGGCGTGACCGGTATAGAGGCGATGTCGTGTCCTCAGTCTTAACCGCACTTTCAATAATGTATCGTTGAGGTTACGATTGATATGGGAATATTTGTTAACCATATTGACGAAATTGCCCCTGTTGGTTTGACTAATTTACAGTTTATAATGATCGCACGTGGGATGATAAGTAGATAGAAACCAAATGGCTTTGATAGGCTAGTAATCTTTGCAGGACGGGGATCTAAAGTGAGAAAAGAAGAAGGAACATGAGAAGGATAGCTTATTTTAAGCAAAATTCGATGGATTATGTCGTTCCTATGGATGCCTCCTACTAATCTATTTTAGGAATACTTTTCAATTTTATTAGAAAAAGAATACTTTTTTTATATGTTAATTTTTTTAATATCCTTTTCCTTTTCAGTTTAATTAAAAATATTTCCAACTAATTTTTTCTATTTTAAGTATTAGAAAAAGAATACTTTTTTTATATCTTAAATTTTTTAATATCCTTTTCCTTTTCAGTTTAATTAAAAATATTGCCAACTAATTTTTTCTATTTTAAGTATCCCTGACCGCCCCCCCGCCCCACCCAAAAAAAAAAAAAGCGTTGCACAGTTGTACTTTATCATAAGTTTGCCATTCACATGTTTTTAATATCTTTTTTGTGCTTACATTTTTTTTTTTGGGTAAAAAAATAAGGATTAGGCATCCATCATGCGTCTTTGTTTTGATTGAAAAAACAAAATATCCATCATATAGTGATATCATGAATGCTTAAATTTAAATTAATATTATTACTGTAAAAGTAAAAAAAATCATGAATACTTAAATTTAAATTATCACTATTACTATAAAAGTGAAAAAAAATCATGAGTACTTAAATTTAAGTTAATACTATTATCGTGAAAGTGAAAAAGATCTAAATTTGGGTTGATCTCGTTATTTAAAAAAAAAAAAAAAAAAAAAAATCTTTAAATTTCATATTTCATGAATCATGATATAAAAACATAACTTACCTATAGTAAATATCGTTATTGTTTAGATATTGAATGAGGGTTTACCCCATATTTAGTTCCCGAACAAGTCTTAATTTTTTTATTGAGACCCTTCATAATTTTTCGGTTTGATTGAAACCCTTTACTTTATAAATTTATTAATTCAAACCCTCTCGTTAACTCGTTTATACTACGTGACACGTTAAAATTAATGGTAACCAATCATGAATAGACACATGACGTAGTGGTCCCAAGTATCATTGTATTCCAAAAAAAAAAAAAACTAAAATTTTAATATTTTTATTATTAGACTATCAATCAATATATATAAAAATGAATGGAAAAAGACAAAAATGCCTCACCCCACCCCTCAGTAACCAAATCAATTTTGATTAAAAAAACATCATTCTTCTCTCTCGATCACATTGAAATCAATTATCAACACTCAAATCAACACATACGATCGCAACCAATCAAGAGGAGAAGAAAAGATCTTTTGCAAGATTCAAATTTCCAACCTTATATCTTTATGCAACATAGTAAAAAATTCCAATCACTTAATGAGAGAATCGTGATGAAACCCTCCATTAAAGAGGTGTCTATTGTATAGCTCAAAATCATATGGAAAATAAATAGCTTTGCCTCTTAACTGCAAACAACATTACTTTAATTGAAACCAATCATGAGAGCTCGACTTGGTTTAGTAATTGTGTCAAAGCCCTTCATTGTTATTGCAAGAGGCTAATGTTAAGTCCATAATATTTGTGATAAAAAAGTGCTCGTTGGGTGCGGATCTCATACTTCGATTGTAGTTTTGCAAGGAGCTTTCGCATCGGCGCTCAACGAACATCAAGATTTTGGTGGATCGATTGTTGATGTTGTTGATTTCGACACTCATGGTATTGAAGATGCAAATCCTTAAAAGTTAGGTGCTTATGGTTACTGCTGTGACTAATGACTTTGAGGGTGTAATCGATTATGGGAGCTTTGGTCAAGATGAGAGAATCGTGATGAAACATGCCTAATGAGTCACTTGATTTTTCTAGAAGCAAATTTTTTTGAATTAAAAGTTCTTTTTTTATTATTTTTGCTGATTTATGTTTCGAGGTGAAGGTGTTTCGGGTTATTGGGAGTGGGTTTCGAGCTACAAAGTTCTAGTAAAGATGGTTTGTTCGGTAGCGATGGGTGGCTAGTGATTGGCAACTCGTTAAGGGCTTTTGAAGTTAGAGTTACAACGGGCCGGTGGCGAGTGGAAGGTGTTTGTAATGTTTATGGTGCAACATTACCTTATCCATTTACAAATCAATGCTAAAGAGACGAGTTGAGAGAAAAGAATAATGTTTTATTGATCAAAATTGATTAAGGTGTCGATAATAGAAGGGGACACTTTTGTCTTTCCCTGTTTATTTTCATATACTAATTGATAGTTTAATAATAAAAATCTTTTAAATTTTAGTTTTTTTTTGGACGAAATACTAAGATACTTAGGACTCATTGTGCCACGTGTCCGTTCATGATTGATTATCGTTAATTTTAACGTGCCATGTAGGATAAATAGTTGACGGAGGGTTTGAATTAATAAACTTATAAGAGTTGAGGGTTCCAATCAATCTAAAAAAATTAAAACTATATAGGGACCAAATGTGAAATAAGCTCTATTGAATGATATTAATTAAAAATATTCATTATTTGACTCGAGTGTTTTCATGAAGATAAGATTTGATCATATACTATGTGGATAGATGCACATGGAAAGTTCAAACTTTATAATGTTTATCGGGTAAGTCAAGAAAAAATAATTTTATTTTCAATAGATGGGTGGTCATTTTTAATTTTTCGGATAAATAGATTTAATTTTATTATTTTGAACTAGTTTGAAATATTATTTAACTTCAATTTCAAAAGAATTTATATTCTAATTTGAATTATATTCTATTTACAAAAAGATAAGTTTACCAATTATATTTAACAAATTTTAACTTTTTATTTTTTAACCTTTTTGGATACTTTTTTTTCTTTGTGTGTAATCTATACAATAGGTTATTTTTATATCATTTGCTATTACATATAGGTTATTTTTTTAAAAAGAAGAAGAAGTGGCATTAATTAACTCATTTTATAGTGACTTGGCAAATCAAAAGAAAATCATGTACGTGATGTGAGAAATTAATCAAAATCCATTTCGTTTTCTTAACCCAATATGATGTGGGTCCTACCGTACTAGATTATTAGGTTGATGAGAGTCGAGCAAAAAAATTTCCATATTATGTTATTTGAAGACCAAATAGACATGCCTAGTATGTACATCAACTTTGTTCCGTATACTTCATGGGCTCGTTGTAACCATCTCTCAAAGGACAAAGCCCAATACAAGTATGCCCATATTGGCTCCAGCAATTACTTTTCTATGCTCGCTTCCTTCCCGTTTCTACCATTATGCTCGTGGTCTTTTCCCATTTGCTGGCCCTAGTGAATGGGCATATCATTTTTTGTTTGGTAAAATAGATGATTGAATCAAGAGTTACAAGACAAGGAAAGCTCTCAATATATATTTGTAATCGGTTAAGCTTCCGTCTTTTTGCTTGTAATTTACCTCGCATCGTATGTTAAGTCGCCTAACTGTTGTCCTTGTGTTAGAAATAAATTTTATGGGCAGCTGAGTTTATATATTCATTAAAATTAGCTAGGGTTGTTTTACTAAAACATTAAAATGTTTATTTATTCGAGAATGAGTGTGAAATGACATGTCACTTTATCATCTTGATGTGTAGTTGAATTGAGGCATTTCCTAGTTCCGTTTGGATCGGCTTGCAGCTGAGTAATCTTAAGTTGAACTTGAGCCGTTCATTCATATGGCTAGGATTGTTATGAGAATGGTTTTCAAGGCTTTCTTAAATGCATCGAAGCAGAGAGCACGGTTCTTTATTCATGAGCATTAGATCTATCATCTTGCACTTTCGAAAGCGAGAGACGGATAGAATTTGAGGCCACACTCAAAATAATTGAAAAAATCATCCTCTAATGTACCAAACACAAAAAACATAATTTTTTTGCTCAAGTCCTCAAACCATCGATAAATTTGGAACGAACTTTGCAAAAATAAGAGCTATAAGGGCGAGATAACAAATTTGGACTTATTTATTGTTTTGATTTGGTATTCACATGGCATCGTGTCAACGATATTTTTGTTTATATATGTTGTGAGGCATGACTGGTATAGAGGCGATGTCGTCTTCTCAATCTTAACCGTCACTTTGAATAATGTATCGTTAAGGTTAAGATTGATTGGGAATATTTGTTGACCATATTGATGAAATTGCCCCTATTGGTTTGACTAATTTACGATCGATAATGATCGCACGTGATATGAGATGATCGGTAGATAAAAACCAAGTGGCTTTGATGGGCTGGTAATCTGTGTGGGATGGGGATCTAAAGGGAGAAAAGAAGAAGGAACATGAGAAGGATAGTATATTTTAAGCAAAGTTCGGTGGATTATGTCGTCCCCATAGATGCCTCATACTAATCTATTTTAGGAATACTTTTCAATTTTATTAGAAAAAGAATACTTTTTTATATTTAAAAATTTTTAATATCCTTTTCCTTTTTAGTTTAATTAAAAATATTGCTAACTAATTTTTTTTTCTAAGTGTCCTTAACATCCCAAAAAAAAAAAAAATTGCATTGCACAATTGCACTTTCTCATAAGAAAGTTATATTGGTACAAATTTATTATATCACATCATGTATGCATACAAATTTTATCCAAGAAAGCAAACGAACCCTATTCATGTAAACATAGTTTCCGGATACCACAAAATTTAGTTCATGAACTTACAATAAATTGACTAAAATGCATTGGTTTTTAGTTTTTAAACTTAATATTGAAAGTGATTGGATATAGTAATAGGTACAATGAGATAATTTGATATTGCGTTATCGATAGTAAATATTATTGATTATAGTGATTTTTCTATATTTAGTTTAGTTTTTTTGGATTTGTTTTTAGCTTTATATATATATATATATATATATATACACATATGTCGGCTTAAGTTTATTTTAAAGTGAGCTAATTAAAATGAAGTTTTAATACCGATATATTAACTTTCGAAAAAAGAAAATATATAAGAATTTCACATTTTTAAATTTCCGGAAAGCAAAAGAAGTTTTCTTAAAGTTTGAAGTGGACTTTTGAATCTTTCCAAACTAAGTTTAAATATACAAATACATTCTATTTTTGGTTGTTAAAATCGATTGCAAAGTCGGATCATGAATTCGAATCCTATGACAAGTTGAAACACTAAATAATATTTGAATAATATATGGAGTTATACACATTAGATTAAGATGATTCAAAAGTTTACAAAAAGAAGACATCCAAACCTACAACTTAAGTTTATTTTAAAGTGAGCTAATTAAAACGAAGTTTTAATACGACATATTGACTTTCGGAAAAAAGAAAATATATAAGAATTTCACATTTTTAGAGTTCCGAATGCGAAGAAGTTTTCTTAAAGTTTGAAGTGGACTTCTGAATATTTCGAAATTAAGTTTAAATATACAAATACATTCTATTTTTGGTTGTTAAAATCGATTGCAAAGTCAAATCATGATTTTGAATCTTGCGACAAGTTGAAACACTAAACAATATTTGAATAATATATGGAGTTATACACATTAGATTAAGATGATTCAAAAGTTTACAAAAAGAAGACATCCAAGCCTACAACTTTTATAAAGAGCTCGAGTCCAAATTCTATCGCTTTTTGATTTTAAATCGGTTTGGAAGTTCTAACACGGAACTTGAAGTCCTATTCAACAACGAATCTTAATTAATTTTGAAAATAATACTAACTATGACTTTTGAGTTGTCATATTTATATATGTATAAATAGTCTTTAGGGTTTCACATTAGAGAAAAAACACTTTCTTTTATCTAAATTAGGATTTTATTCTTCAAACAATGTCTAGCTAATTTCATCCTAAACCAGTTTAAGTTTCGGGCCATCTAGTAATGTTAAAACTTCCTCTCTAGTATTAGTTCCAACGCCATAGAAAGAAGAGAAGACCAAAATAAGATTACCTTTATCATCTCTTAGGATTTCTCCCCACGACGAGATATTATTCTTAGAAGCACCATTTGTGTTTAACTTGAATTTTTCTATCGATGGGTAACACCATCTAATCTTGTAACCTCTACTCTATACAACTTGTCGCTCCTTTATTCCCAAAGAAAGTAGACATAATTTGTCATGAAAGTATACACATGAAGAAAGGTGAAACGAGATGGGATAATTTGTAAAGCCAAGAACTTACCTTCTATTTAATAGCTTGACCATTCATGACTATATTTTCAAATATGGATTTGTTTCTTGCAAACCACAGCTCCCAAACAATGCTTGCTAAATACTATCATATAAGTAAATTGTTTTTGAAACCGAGGTTTACCTTTTGTCGACCACCCCGTAGATTATTGGTTCACATTACTTGCTACGAGTATGAATCCGATATCTCGTCCAAAATAGCTCCATAGCTCATTAACAATATCTCTGTGGATGAAAAGGTAAGAAACAGATTCTTCCTTTGGAATGCAACAACATTGACATTTGGAAACCAATGAAATACCACAAGCTTTAATATTAGATTCCATAACAATGCCATTATGAAGAACTTTCAAGACTAGAATTGAATCGGAGGAGGAAGAGACATAGCTAGGAATCCAAGCACTCCATAAACTTCTCCACCACTCAAATTTTGGAGCAATGACTCTCGTTTCTTTATAATATGCTTTGAATTATAAACTTCTCTTATTTAGTTCATGTATACATTAGTTTATTGCTTCGTGAACATTCAATTTCACAATATCTAATTCAAATTGAATCGGAGGAGGAAGAGACATATATATGGACATGTCTCGCT